GTGAGTCGGACATGATGGACCTGAAGCGCCTTGGGAGATACCTCAAGCAGGCCAGGGCAGGCTCACTGGTATTCAAGCTGCAGGAGGCCCCCAAGCGCATCGAGATCTTCGTAGACGCTGACTGGGCTGGCGAGGCTACCACCAGGAAATCACGCAGTGGCATGATGCTCATGCTCGGCTCCCATCTTGTGAAGCACGCTTCCACGCAGCAGACCACGGTGGCGTTGTCTTCTGGGGAGTCCGAGTACTACGCGATGCTGAAGGGTGCAAGCCACGCTTTGGGGCTCCAGTCTATGCTCCAAGATTTCGGCGTGCAGCACCTAGAGATGCCACTGCTGCGCAGCGACAGCGTGGCGGCCGAGGGCATCGCCACGCGGCAGGGTCTTGGCGCGGTCCGCCACATCGACACTAGATTCTTGTGGCTGCAGGACCAGGTCAAGGCAGGCAAAGTGGAGATCAAGCACGTGCCGGGACTCCAGAACCCGGCCGATGCATTCACGAAGGCTCTGGATCAGACACATCTGAGACGGCATTTTGAGGCTATGGGCTTTAAGGTGCGCGACGAGGGCAGCCGGCTCCATCGCACTCTCTAGGGCGTGTGTGTGGCGCCAGGCAGATGCATGAGTTTTCTTTTCTTTCCTTTCTTTTCCACGGACCTAGATGTCCCGCACTGAGGCGGGAGTTGCGGACGATGTGCATTGGGAAGTGGTCGGCCGTGCACGGACCTGGCGGGCGAGAGGCCTGCAGGCACGCGCGGCACCGACGCCGCGGGAGTGGGGCTTTGGCCCGCTGTCCGCTGCGTCCGAGAGGGGGTGTTTCCCTTCACGTGCACAATCAGTGGTATCTGTTCTTATCGATATCGTTTGACGTCCGCAGCTCATTTGTGTCAAAGGAGCGTTGCACGGGCGCTTTCTGGCCACACCGCTCGGGAAACGATATACTACAAGATGGGTATACTATATGTTGGGGTCGGACGCGCGCCTCCAAGGAGGACATATAGTATTAGTATGTCCATGTGCGTCCCAAAAAACGTTGATTTCTGACGGTTTTTTGGTCTGTTGTTTGGGAATGCTCCGTTCTTCGGTCTTCTTGCCGTCCGAGACTGCCCAGGGGGCCAGGGCATCGCCCCAAGTTTAGCTCCGATGGCCTCCAGGCAGTCCAAGAGGAGCCCCATGACGGCCCAACAGGGCCCCCAGATGGCCCGAAGAGAGCCCCATGACCAAGGCGTTCCCCCCAGCAGTGTCCCAGGCCGAGGCTCCCCCCGAAGAGAGCCCCATGACAAAGGCGTTCCACCCGAGGCTCCCCCCCGAATTGTGGGACCCTTCAGCAGTGTCCCCCGAAAGTGGCAGGGGCCAGGGCGGAAGCAAGAGAGCCCCCCCGAAGGCCCCCCCCTATCACGAAAAGTCGTTTTTGTTTGCTATGTGACAAGCTTTACATTCGAGGGCGAGGTTGATCAAGAAGCAGTGGCCCAGCTTTCGACTGCGATTGTGGTGTCAGCTGGCGCGATCCTTTGTGACGATCGCCTTCGACCGTGCTGCTGATCGGCTGGAGGACGCGGCGGTCGAGACAGGCCCCGGCACCCGTGTCATGGATGGAAACTCGGCTTCGGAGGGTCCTCCAGAGCGCGCGGGGAACGCTCGCAGCCCGCTCCGCGGAGGAGCCTCTCCAGGCACAGCGGCGGCGGTCCGTCCGCGCCCCTCCCGAGGGGGCCCGCTGGCTGGCCGGCAGGCTCGTGCTCCCCCCCCTCCTCCCCCCCCTCCTCCTCCCCCTCCTCCTCCTCCCCCTCCTCCTCCTCCTCCTCCTCCTCCTCCTCCTGCCCCTCCTCCTCCCCCTCCTCCTCCTCCTCCTCCTCCTCCTCCTCCTCCTCCTCCTCCTCCTCCTCCTCCTCCTCCTCCTCCTCCTCCTCCTCCTCCTCCGCGCCCTGCGCCCCCTCGGCTCGCCCGCGCCGCGTCCTGCGTCCGTGGGCGGGGGCTGCGGGCGCGAAGCGCGGCGACGGCGGCAGCCCGGCGGCGACGGGGTCAAGTCGTGCCGGTCCCTCTACGGGGGGAGCGTCCACAAGTACGGTAGGTTTGCGTCGTGTCGACCAGCGGCGACCCCAGCGCGGGCGTTCAAGGTTGAACGCCGCCGGCGACCCAGAATCGGTCGATGTTGAACGATCGGACGTTGCGGCAGCGGCCGATCGTTCAAGGTTGAACGATCCCTGCGGTGTCAAAAACCAACGCTGGGGTCGGCACGACACGAACCTGCCGTACGGGGGGAGCGTCCACAAGTAGCCAAAATTACGCTATCGAGGAACCCCACATACTTGTATTATGGTTGGAGTGATGATAGCTGAAGTGAAGCATGTGAGAATGATGTTGGTGGCCGTTGTCCCGCCGTTACTGTTGGTGGCGCCACTCAAGAGGAGAGGTGGAAGAGGAAAAGCGCCGCGCCAGCCACACTTTGCGAGCCCGAAACAGATAGCGACCGCACCCCCAAGGCACCACCTTGTGGCGTCGAGAAAGGGCCACGCCTGCCACGCTTTGCGAAGCCGAAACGGATATCGACCGCCTCCCTGGCGCACCCCCTGTGGCATCGAGAACGTACCGCGCCTGCTGCCACGCGTTGCGAGCCCGAAACGGATAGCGACCGTACCCCCAGCGCACCCCCTTGTGGCGTCGAAGAAGCGTCACGCCTGCCACGCTTTGCGAGCCCGGAGCGGATAGCGACCGCACCCCCAGCGCACTCCCTTCGGCGTCGAGAAGTTGCCACGCCTGCCACGCTTTGCGAGCCCGGAGCGGATAGCGACCGCACCCCCAGCGCACCCACTGTGGCGTCGAGAAAGTGCCACGCCAACGCTTTGCGAGGCCAAAACGGATATCGACCGCACCCCCCGCGCACCCCTGGCGCATCGAGAAACTACCGCGCCTGCCACGCGTTGCGAGCCCGAAACGGATAGCGACCGTACCCCCCAGCGCATCCACTGTGGCGTCGAAGAAGTGTCACGCCTGCCACGCTTCGCGTGGCCGAAACGGGTAGCGACCGCCCCCCCCAACGCACCCTTTGTGGCGCCCAGACAGTGCCACGCCTGCCACGCGTTGCGAGCCCGAAACGGATATCGACCGCACCCCCAGCGCACCCCCTGTGGCGTCCAGCGAAAGCCACGCTTGCCAGGCTTTGCGGCAATGTCGTGGACTGAGAGACCACCCCCTGCGCACCCCCATTGTGGTGTCCAGAAAGTACCACGCCTGCTAGGTTTTGCGACCGTGTTGTGGATAGCGGCCGCGCTGAGAGACCACCCCTTGCGCCCCCCTTTATGGTGTCCACAAAGCGCTACACCTGCTAGGCTTTGCGACAGTGTCGTGGATAGCGGCCGCGCTGAGAGACCACCCCCTGCGCACCCCTTATGGTGTCCAGAAAGTGCCACGCCTGCTTGGCTTGGCGACAGTGTCGTGGATAGCGGCCACGCTGAGAGACCACTCCCTGCGCACCCCCTATGGTGTCCAGAAAGTGCCACGCCTGCTAGGCTTTGCGACAGTGTCGTGGACAGCGGCCGCGCTGAGAGACCACCCCCTGGGGACCCCCTATGGTGTCCACAAAGTGCCACGCCTGATAGGTTTTTCGACAGTGTCGTGGATTGCGGCCGCGCTCAGAGACCACTTGCTGCGCACCCCTTATGGTGTCCAGAGGTGCTGTGCTGTGCTGTGCTGTGTAGTGCTGAGGTGTGCTGTGCTAAGGTGCTGTGCTGTGCTGTGCTGTGTTGAGATGAGCTTTGCTGTGTTGTGTACGTGCTGTGTGTCAATGTGCTGTGTGCTGTGCTGAGCTGTGCTGAGCTTTGCTGAGCTGTGCTGGCCTCTGCTGCACTGTGGTGCGCTTGCTGTGCAGTGCTGAACTGTGCTGAGCTGAGCTGTGCTGTGCTGTACTGAAGTGCTATGATGTGCAGTGCTGAGCTGTGCTGTGATGAGCTAAGTTGTGCTGTGCCGAGTTGTGCTGCGCTGTGTGAGAAGGAGAAAGAGGAGGAGGGGAGGTGGGGTGTGAGCGCCGCGGGTGCGGGGTGTGAGGGCCGCGGGTGCGACGAGACAGGGAAGAAAACCATAACCCCATTAAGCATGTGGGGAAATAGTCAGGGGACGATCTTTTGGTTGGTTGTGTGTTCTGATCATGTTTGATTAGTTTGGGGGTACCCGTCCGTCGTTGAGAGTAGGTAGATTGGGATCCCCAGATCCCAGTCTACTTTGAGCGCCTTCCTCCTTGAAGAATCGACGGCCGTCTCCTTCAATCGCCCTACCACCAGGGCGGGCCCGAGCCCAATCTGCTTCAAACGCCTTCCTGCTTCATGTTTCTACCTACTTCCTGCGACTGGCGTGTATTGCTAAGGCCTTACGGCAAGTGCCGCCGACCCTGGATACCTCGGCCCTCGCGGGGGACGGGATGCGTGATCAGACGTCGGAGGTAAATGAAGGCGTGGCGAAGGAGGAGGTGGAGGAGGTCGGCGTGTATGTTTAATTTTTCGTCCAAAATCCGCCTGTAGGGGGGGATGCCCGACCTGACGACAAGGGCGAGGGGGCGCGCGGCGGCGCCGAGGCGGCCACGAGGCCCGCGGCCCTCCTCGGGGCGCCCGTGCTTCTGCGCCGCGGCCTGCTGCTTGGCCTGCCCGCGCCGCCCCCCCCCCCCCCCCACTATCTAACACGACTCCCCCCTAGCTTGCATCCCGGCCCGCCTCATTAGTATCCTCTCAGCTCGCCTCCTCCTTCCTATCCTCCTCCCCCTCCTGCCAACACTCCTCTCTTTCCCCTCCCCCTCCTCTCCCCCAATCTCCCCTCTTCTTTCCTCTCCTCCTCCTCTCTCCTCTCATCCCTCCTCCTCCCTCCTCCTCCTCCTCCCCTCTCCCTCTCCTCCTCCTCCTCCTCCTCCTCTTCCTCCTCCTCGTTTTGCGTGAAAGGCGGATGAAAGACAGAACAAGGGAAAACGAAAACAACACGAAAACGAAAAACACCGTTTAGGTGCAGCCCCCCCCCGAGGTTCCTGCAGGGCTACCCGCGGCTGCGGGACCAGCCGGCCACGCCGGCGGCGCTGGCGGCACGATACGGCACCCGTGCGCCGCAGCGCCCGCCCTCAGAGGCGACGATAGGGGCGAGTAGCCCAGGGGAGAGCAATACATGTATCCAGGGGCGGCAGGGCTCCCGGGCGAATGCGTGTGATGCCCGCCCCTGGGCGATTCGCCCTCGTCGCCGCCGACCCGTGCGCCGCAGCGCCCGCCCTTCCCTCCCTTGGCATCGCTCGGGGGTTGTGCATTCTTGTCCCAGAAAGGGCGTGGGCCCAGGGTTCTCTTTTTGATAGGTTTACACCCGGTTTCGACGGCTGTAGGGCCAGCGAAATTATTTGTGATAAGTAACGAGGTGGCGTGGGGCTGGCGAACATATTTTTGGGGATGTCCCGAGCGAACCGCTTGTGTTGCAAAACTTGTCGAGGATATCTCGATCGAATTGCTTGCTTTGTGCTATAGACTGTCCTCCTCCTGAGGACCAGAATTCAGAGGATCTCTCAAGTGAAATGCTTGTTTTCACGTGCCCAGATCTTGAGGATGTCTCGAGCGAGACGCTTGTTTTCACGCGTCCAGGTCGCCCAGGCGGATGTCTAGCATGAGGATGTGTTGAGGAAGTTTCGATCGCGACGCGTGTTTGCAGTGTCCAGGCTGCCCAGGCAGATGTCTAGCATGAACATGTGATGAGAATGCCTTGAGCGAAACGCTTGTGTTCATGTGTCCAAGTCGCCCAGGCACGGCACAGCCCTCGGCACAGCACGTCAAGATCGATACACTCAGCATTGCAACCTGGTACGTTCCCTTGCACGTTCCGTGGCGCGTCCCGTGGCGAGTCCCCCTGGCACGTCGCGCGGCGCGTCCCCTGGCACGTCCCGTGGCACGTCCATTGGCACGTTCCGTAGCGTGTCCACTTGGCACGTCCCTCGGTGCGTCCCCATGGCACGTCCCCCGGCACGTCGCCTGGCGCGTCCCTTGGGACGTTCCGCGGCGCGCCTTTTTGGCATGTCCCCTTGTCAATTAGCCCTGGGGCAGCTACGATGTGCTCAGGCAGCTCGAGCTTGAGATCCAGATCAGTTCGGTCAGGACTCGGATGCAAAGGATGGCTCGATCCACAACGCTATAGAGCACAATCGCGGCATGGCACATGGCAATTCAGCACGGCGCAGCACAGCACAGCCCTTGGCACGGTACGTCAAGATCGATACACTCAGCATTGCAACCTTGCCCGTCGCCCAATCAGGTGTTTCTGAGACGTTGCCACGCCTTACATTTCTATATTTCTTTCTGGGTTCGTGAGTCCTTCATGTTCCCGGAAAGGGCTTCGGCA